GCAGATAAGTGTTAGTTATATGGAATTTTACTGTGCTACTGTCCCTACATTTGTTTGCATTTGAAAATTTTCTGTAACAAAAAAGCAACTGATTTATTAAGAAAAGCAGGATTTAGTGAAAGGCACAGCAATAACCAAAGAGAAAAATCAACACTGAACAGTGATAAAGAAACTGAGCGTCCGTGGAAGGTACTTTTCCTGTGCCTTGGACGAGCACGCCTATGCACAATCATTCCTCTCTGTCTGTGTTTCCATTTGGAGGTGTTGGATGATGCTTCGTGGACTCTCAGCTATTTCCATTTCTAATTTTCTTGATAAGATCTGAACCTCGTTAGATTGTCGGGAATATCGGGTCTTCTCTTTCCAATCATATACTTTATAGCATATCGGGACACTTGGCAGCAATATCAAAGACCTTCCCCTCCCCTCTCCGGCCACACACTTCCATGTCTCTTGCTGCCATGTTCGCTCAGTGATGCCACAGACCCAGGAAGAAGCTATTTTATTCATCTCCCACTAGAAACTGAGCTCAGGTAATAGATCTTATTTGGCATGGTTGTAAAAGTGGTATAATAAAATAGTTTCCTAGTATGCTTGCATTGTACTGTACTGAGCCAAATTCTCAATGCACAGCATTTTTAAGAAATAAGAAAAAATTGTACCATTACTCCTGCATTGCTACTATCCCATATCTGCCTGAGCGTTGGATTAGGTTGACTTCAGAATGAGGCTACAAACCTTATGGACACTTCTTTCAGAGTAAAAGGCGGCAGCGTGAGCCACAACTGTTAAAAGTGTGTCTCTGCACAGATACTTCTGGGAAAAGTAACACTATGCCTTTAGTTCCTTCTAAGTGTAATGATAGAACAGTTTTCCTGACAAGTTCTGATTATGGCATGGAGAAAAAACTTGAGAGGCAGGAGGAAAAGACAGTCTCCAAACTGAGAGGACAAAAAAGCCACAAAAAGAGATGGAAGTGTTGGCAGAGCCAATCCTCAGAGAACTAATGATTTTGTCTACACTCTCTCTGCTGTGTCATTTTGAATGTGCCAACCTCATATATCTATGAGGAATAAAAATTGAAGTTATTAGTATCTTTCAAATAATCAGTAGAAAAAGAGATAGAATCCTTCTGAGACAGATGCCCTTTCACCTGTTTTCCTATGAAGTAGACCCTTTAACTGAAGCTTCTATGGTCAGTTATCAATTAAATTATTCACAGTGGACATAACCATCTATTTCTTCCCAGTACAAGGTCACACAGCTGAATTCTAAGTGAGAAATAATTTCCTGGTATACTTTTTGCCAACAACCAATAATATTCAACAAGACTGAAGATATATACTGTATATATGGAGTAATTTAGAAACCTTTATGGAAGCAAGCTTTTAAAATTAAAGGAAATCTGAATAAAGAAGGCTATGTACCTACAATCAGCTTTTTGTGGAAAAGATGAGGAGTAGGTAACTGTTTATGTAATTTGAGAACTCAAAGTGTATATTTTTAAAGTAAAGTATCCCATGAATGAAACTCCCTACTTGTGGTCATATTATCACAGTTTTATTAGAGGCAAATGACTTCAATTCTGAGTGCTTTCAGGCATTCATCTGAAGTAGTTCACTCATGACTAAGCTAAAGGAAATGTATATTATTCTCTTCAACCAAAACAATCTTCCCACTCAGGCCTCGGAGGATGGCTCTTGAAATAAGGGGTTCATTTATTTCCATGCACCTGTGATTTTGTTCCTAAGTGGTATGATGGCTACTGAGTATCTAGTTCAAACTCAAGACTTCTATTTTCCAAATTACTTCACTCTCACTTTATTTAGACATGAACCATGAAGCACTGTCTGATGTTTATGATGTCATCTTCTATGTAATACATAAAAAGAGATATTATTTAATAATTGGGTGGGAAAGGAGAAAAGGTAACTTTTTATTGTCTTCAGTAAAAACAAAGCACATACCTAAAATACTTTGTAAGGCAATTCTAAAGAAACAGATTTTGGGGCCAGGAATTTAGCTCAGTGGCACCATGCCTGCCTCATAAGTGCAAGGTCCTGAGTTCGATCCCTGGTACACCCCACACACACAAAAACAAAGAAACAAAAAGATGTATTTTTTCCATGTTTCTATAACACACATATTAATTCTTTTGGTTACAGATAAGTGAGTCATAATCCACAGTATCTCACAAATCATATTTGGTGCGTGAGTGATATAGACAAATACAATTCTTATCTTTCTCTTACAAACATTCAAATACAAGTTGACTTTTTAATTATTTATAATTCTACAAGAACAAAACACTCACCCAAAATTACTAAATGCTAACAATAAACTCCAGGTCCACATGATAATTTGAAGAAGATAACAATCTGAAGTCTTAATAACTGATAAGGAGATTTTGTTCTCCCAAATTCCCCATAGAAGTGTTGGATGAAAAATATTCAAAAAGGGAAAGAAATAGGTCTCTCTTCATGACTATCACTCACCATATGCAGTGCATTAATTCCTTGCTCATTTTTTAATATGATATAAATACAGACGAAGTGATTTAGTATTATTCCTGGGTTATTAGAGAAGTTTGATTGCTGGGAATTAATTCCTTGGATCTATGTAGGTGCATGTGAATGTGTGTGTGTGTGTGTGTGTGTGTGTGTGTGTGTGTATTCCCCCTACTAAACTCAGGAGGAAGTTGATTTCCTCTGTGAAAAGCATCTTTGCATGCAGTCAACTCCTTGCTTTAGAGCACCTCCCATGGTTTTGGCCCATTAACCCGGGCACAACAGCTTGATGAATTAATGCTTATATAGGCACAGTTGGCAGCTTCTAATTAAATAATTATGGCTAAGCAGCTGCACAGAAGCTGTTATGCATCCTAGAAAGCCAGCTGTCAGTTTTATTGGTCCTAAGACAGAGGAAGAGTTAATACCTGGCTCTGGATGTTGGGTGGCAAAGGGAAGTATATGATTCACAAGATATATACTGTTAGTATGAAGTCCCTGTGTGTTTGTGCTAGCCTACCCATAGAGAGATGGAGAGCAAACTGTTCCTCAGCAACCTCTTAGCAATCCAACAAAGAAGGAAGCAATTATATGATCAGGATAGAAGAGACTCTTCAGGGCAAGCCAGAGAGGACATGGCATTAGGCAGATGAAGCTGATGAACACAGCAATGTCACCGAAGTGGTAGGCAAATACATTTATGATTGAGAGCCTCATTTAGGCAGGTGAAGAATTAAAAATACAGCATGGCCCTTTCAGGGGTATGACTGGTATAGCCTCATTAAATTATTTGGTAGAAGCTTCTTAAGGTGCTAGGTTTTCAAATATTGGAAACTGCAGAACATGGTAATTATTGCAAACCTACATTTGAACAATCTTTAAAATGTATTTTCCCAAAAAGTTTGGAAAAATATTTTTGTTCTATGGAATTACAGATATATGCCAATTCCTCTACAAAAGGCTAAAGAACCAGTCTCAGCTCTATACTAGTGCGACATTCTCCAGAAGGAAAAAAGAAGTACCTAGTGACTAAGTTCTGGCACAGGGGAAAACATAGATTATAATTAAATGCCATAGATAAGGTTGTTAGGCCAAATAATGTTTGTTATTATACATCAGTATGCTCCTGAGCTGATTTAATTTTTCTCCACAAGCTGTCTTCTTGATGTAATCCATGTGTTTTCCCTTCTAAAAACCAAATACCCAGGATACACAACACTGCTTCCCATTGGCCCCTCTACTAGTTTCCAACACCAGCTCCAAATGTATAAACACAACTATAGGCAAAAACCAGTCCAAAAATTTAGTCTTACTTCTACGGTCACAGAAATTTAAGAATCTTAATCCTATATCCTGAATTTGCTTTAAAATAAGGTTGCAGGATGCTGAACATGAACACTAGAAGCTCAGTCTTTGTGGAATGTACTGCACCCAACTCCCAGGCCTTCTGAAAATCAGCCGTTAAATCAAGCACCAAACAGTACAAACTGATTTACTGTTCCCCGTTCAGAGATCAACGACTTACAATTTATTGTTTAGAATAATGCCATTTCATAAAACAAGGCAATCTGCAAAGTAAGTCTTTGTTTAGGCAAATGTACTGACCTCTAAGAACCCTACTTAAAAGATGTCAGTACAATCGTTTCCTTTTGTCCCACTCCAGCTCCCTCTTATGTCAGTAATTCCTATCCCCGCAGATATCTAAAGGTGTTTGCATGCGATTGATAATTATCAAGGGCCTAATTCTTTTTAGGGGAATCTCAAGTTCATCTTAATTAAATCTGCAGTACAACTCAATCTCAGTACAAAATGCAAAAAGAATCTAACAGCAGATTTTTTTAAGCCCATAAAAGCACATTTCAGACTTGGGGGGAGAAAGGGGGCCTTTCAACAGTCTGTGCTGCCATCTAGCCAAGACCACATCACTCAGTGCAACACCCATTTGTGTTTGAAAAGCCCTTGAATAAAGCAAGTCTTAAACTACTAACTTAATAGACAGCAAAGTTCAGTCCAACTGAAGGATAAGCAGAAGTATTTCATTCACTCTGACTCTTCCAAACTCCCATGGACAAAGAGCCAAGTTGTAATCATCAACTTTACCATCACAATTCAACATTATGGCTAAGAGGAAGGGGGAAAGGGAGGGAGGGAGGGAGAAGTGAAGGAGAGAGAGAGAGGAAGGAAGAAAGGAAGAAAGAAAGAAGAAAAGATTCACATGCTTCTTTTCATTCCATGGTTACCCATTCCACTGTCATTTGTATATATGATTTTCTGAGGTCTCTGAATAGTCTGTAACCTTATTAGAAAAATAGATAAAAGTTCCCTTAAGTAAGCCTTGCAAGCCAAATTATAACCTCTAGTATTCTAGCTATAATTCAAGAGTCACAGCAATCTCAAACCATATTTCTTAGATACTGGCAGAACGTGGGAATCACATACATTTGTGCAAAGAATCAATATGCACGAAAAATAAATAGAACCTTTGGTACTTACGGTAGAAGACATATTCAGTGTAGCTTGACCAGATCTTGTCATCTGTATATTGGTTGACGAAAGATGCTGTCACTGATGAGTTACAGGCCACCATGTGGAATCCACACTCTGACAACATATCAAAAGCCCTTTCCAGATGCTTGAATTTGAGATAAAATCTGGAGGTATATCTCTCTGGGGCTCGGTCAGGGTCTCTGCTTTCATTCAAAGTTTCTCCAAAGACTTCCTTTGCCAAGGAAATCCTTCCACAAACCAAAATTCGGGGGACTCTGCGAAACTTGGCATCTGCTTGCCCCTCTCTACCCAAGGTGCAGGATCCCCTGTAACCCACAGTAAGGAAACCCCACTTACGGTCAGCAGGGAGGAGTGAGGAAGGAGGGCATATTCTTGTGTCGCTTCCTTGGGAGGCATCTTCAAAGTCACTGTGGCAGAATTCATCCGGGCTTTGCTTGATCTCATCAGGACTCAGGAGTCTGACCAAGTCCGGGAGCTGGAAGTATTCCGCTTCCCTTTTCAGTCTTCCCCTTTCTGGAAAGTGATCAGGCAGGACCACCTGCCTGTCCCTGAGATAGTCCAGAATGTAACGGAACAAAAATCCATCTCTGTCAATGAAAAACCTTCCCTTGGAGTCCCGGGCTATCTCGTTCGCCACGTCTCTCTTTGGGGAGAACATTTTCCACAGGAGGGAATGAGGAATGCTGATCAGTGTGGAATGCCGAGTGAAATAAACTTGACCCCCAACATTCAGCTCTACGACTTCAGGGAAGGAGTTGGGAACTGTGGCCCCTTGTTCTCGAGGGTAATAACGACTACAATTTCCACTCAGAGCCATTGTCCCTTTCTTCTGCTGTTTTGATTTAAAGGTGCAGCCCAATGGAGTCACGGCCTTATCCTGTGCATCAACTTGGAGGGAAAGGGATGCTAACTTGTTAAAAAATGACCTCTTCTTACCCCAGGTTTTTTTTTTTTTCCAAAAAAGCAAAATTTAGAAGAGTCCACAGGTGAAGTGATGCTTAAAAAGTAGTTTAAAATCTGGCTGGTGATGAGCTGTTACTTCGTGGAATATAATCAACTCATCAACATCTGATCTTCCATCAAGCTCAGTGGGCAAGGCAGGCCAAGTCCCCAGTTACTCAGAGATCCATCTGAAGGAAAAGAGAAAAAATTATTTCCTCAAACCCACAGTGAGTCAGAAAAAGAGACTTCTGGAGAGAGGAGAGAGAAGGAGAGGGGGAGGGAAGAAGGAGAGAGAGAGATTATTTTACATAAGCAGCCCTGAAACTACTGATATCAGCCATTCCTCAATTAAATTGTAGCTTCTCTCATGCTATTTTGTGTCTTTATGTTTACCCATAGCCTCCGTCTCATCTCCAGCAATTAATATTAAAAACAGTTCTATTTGTAATTCTGCATTAAAAAGAAATATGCAATTTTCAACTTTTAAAGGGGGATTTTTTTTAAAAAAAAACAGGACAGAAAAGGCAATGTTTTAGAGCTTACCTTAGTGAGTGCTGGAAACCCAGTTCTCCTGAAGAAATAACCATTTGCAAAACAATCAGAATCCACAGCCACACTGAGTCTGTATCTCAAATCCCAAACAGGTAAAGGACAGAGGTATCAATGAAAAGTGCCAGAGAGATGAGCTCTTGGAAAATAATTTTAGAGATATATATGTATTTATATAATTGTCTATCTGTATATATGTCAGTATGTGTATGTATTCACTCCCAATCTCAAGTTAAAACAAGTCACAAAAAAGTTAAAGCATGATGAGAGGAGGTTGGTTGAAGAAGTAAAGCTGTGAAAAATATTCAACCAAAGCTTCTCCAGGGGAAAATTAAATCAAACCTTTAAGAAGGATCCTTTAAACAGAAGAGAGTTGCAAGAGGTACCGGAACTTAGAAGCTTTTCAGAAAGCCCAGAAGCAGAAAGACAGACAGAGGCGCCCGACTGGGGTCCCAGGTAGCCACCCCACCGCGGGCAAGGGCAGCCGGACTCCCATGTTCCCGGCTGGGTAGCGGGCGGGAGCGAGGCCACC